AAAAAAAACATTTTTTTTCGATTTCTCTGAAACGGAGCAAAAACGAGCATATGTCTATAGGACTTTTTTTCTTAGTTTTTTACTCCTCTACACGCTCCCGAAGTTTTGCCATTTAATTTGGAAACACCCTGTATATATAATTAATTCATTGCCGTAATGGTCACCAGTGATCGACACTGAGCTTTCCATTTGTGCTGGATTACGTGGTCCTCGTGGACCAATAAGATTTTTGAAAAGCAGTTTCAAAGGCATTAAAAACTGGTTCTGTTTATATGTGCTCTTAAATGTGTGCAATTTCGCATATATCCAAGTTTTTTAAAAATAATTTTAATTTAAATGATAAAAATGAGGAAGAGAAAATTAATTCTTCGATATGCATTTCCCCCGATGATCAGTTATAATAGAAAGGATTGCTTCGATTTCTACCCAGTTGGCACCAATTAAATTATAACATAACGTCTCTGTTATAATTTCGCATTTAACAACGTAACTGTTATGTATCTGACTGCGATTCATTATTCATTGCGAGTATTGAAAATCTATAATATACGTAAAGTGAACCGTAGATTTCTACAATTAGTACATGCAGCGAATAACAGAACCCCAAGGAATACACAAAAATCAACAAAAAATCAAAATAACTATTTTAATTTTTAAAATCAATAAACAATCAAATTTTATAACCAAAAATCATAATTTTGACTTTCATGATGTCAAAATAAAGTCATTTTGACATTTTTTTACCTCCTCTTGACTTGCTGTGTTTTTTCAGACATAGTCCTGGAGTTATATCGATTTATATTGTTAAGTGCGAAATTATAACATAGATTTTATGTTATTTTTAGTTGGTGTCCACTGGATATCGTATAGCGAAAGTTTTTGATTAGGGTGAAGCGGAGTAATTTGGATAAGTTAATAGAAATTTTCAAATTGTATAAAAGACTGAGATCGCATAATGTATTCAATTAAACATACAAAACATAAATTATTGCACTAATAATAAATGTTTGATTCATTATCAGTCCTCGTTTAACATTTAATGTTAAGGACAGATGACAAATCCGAGGCATGGGAGGCATCCGAGCGACGTTTCCGAACGCAGCCAATATACACTACGCAATCTCAATTTTTTATATAATTTGAAAATTTCTATTAATTTATCCAAATTACCCCGCTTTACCCAACATACGTTTAGTTTTACGTGCGTGCGATATTGCAAGGACGAAATATCGTGACGCGTGATCTCGAATCATCTCGAATCGCGAGGGGGACCAAAGCCGCCGCGGTTGTGATGGTTTGGCCGACAGTGCACAGACGATCAGCTGATCGTGTGGCACATGCTCGCGGCGCTTAACTGACCTAGCCCTACGCGCGCGCGAGTTGCCGCTTACGGCGCTTACGCGCGTAGTACTATGCTGAAACGGTGAATGAGCGGGTGTTTTTCTGTGGCGTTGTGACTCAACGAGAAATATCGACAGACGTCAGACGAGAACGTGTCTCTTTTTGCGATTCTCTTGCACATCTGAACATCTCATCGCAATGAGCACGATCTTATCGTGCACGCGTGTGTATTTTCTTGTCTTAAACGCAATATAGAGAAATATAACGAAATATAGAGAACGTTAATTTTTTGCCTTACGTTCGATGCGTCACGATTTGAAAAGAAACTCTGTCGGAAAGTCAGATATAAAGAACTTCTCTTAACGTCTTCTCGATATTTTCTTTTCGTTTGAAAGGTTCTTGATTTTTACACACGATGGAGAAGGATGATGAAAAAAGAGATGAACAGAACTTTTTCTTAATCCTCTCGATATCTTCTTTCGTTGAAAAAAAATTGTTACAATTTTTTTTATAAAGTAAATAAAAATTCAAACGATAAGAAATTGAGAACGATCAAAGTTGGTAACACGCAGTGCTTTCGCTCTTGAGATCGTCAAATGTTAGAAGACTTTCGCAAACACTTACCGATATTCGGGCGAAGGGCAGGCTTGCGCCACACAGACTAACGACGTCGATTCGTCTTGGGCGACATGTACGACACCGGAGTTTTCGAGTATCACGGGAGGCATTACGCCTCTGTGATCTGTGAAGCAGAATGCAGAAAATTTGGCACGTCACAAACAGCGTTTCCGGTGATGTGCACGATAGTTTCCTTGGAAACTTATCGGCATTATCTAGACTCACCTGCTATCCTAATGTTGGCCATAGAACTAACGACCACTTGTCTCGTGAGACGGTGCATTGTGCGGCATCTGTAGCCGTTCAGCTGGTCGCTGAACTCGAGGCTGTGTACCAGAAGCTCTCCCGTGGGAAGCAGGTGGAACTTGCCATCTACAAAACGTAGCGATCGAAAGCGTCATGAAATGTCAAATGTATCGAAAGACGTCATACGGTATACAAGATGTTCCAGAAAACCTGATACTAAAGTATCTTTGCCATCGACTTTTTTTATAGGCTTATACATTCAATCTTGAAATTCTGACAAAATGACGCAGTGTATTAGCCATTTTTCCGGTAAAAGTAGATTTCGTAAAAATTTATCTGACTACCAAAAAGAATTATCGTAGATTTGGAACAGCTTGTATACATCGTTGATTTGCTGCAACAATGATTAATTAAAAAAATAAAGTTTTCCAAAAAAATGAATTTTAATGTTGTGAAACATTGAAATTTTGTGATATTAATTTTAAAAAATGCAATTTTGGTGTAATAACTGTGATTGTAGAGGAATAAAAGTATATTCTTTAAAGTATCGTAAAATGAGGTCATTCTGTAGTAGCAAAATTCATTGGCGATACATTGATGAAACATTAGTATGCATTGGAGATATATTGGGGGAATATTGCGCTAATGAATTATGCTACTAGGGTTGGCCTAGTCAGAATAAGTTTGATCCAAATTTAAAAAAATGCTTAGATAATACGCATGCCTACACAGCACGTCTTTAAAGACGTCTCTAACTCCGATTTTGATATAGTGTCTGGGCATTACTAAAATTTGGACCGTTTTAAGATATTCTTTTTTTTTCTTTGTTTCGTTCCTTCTTCTGCAAGTAACTAAAAAATGACAATTTTTTTAGATATATCATTGCAGCAAATGAGTCATATGATAATTTGATTATGGATGAGTATTGTTCTTTTTCTGCTTTTTTTCGTTTTGCATTATGTATCAAGGTATTTGCTTTTCACAATCGACTGCAAAATTCTGTAAGCCCGAAACAACACTTCGATAGAGTTTTGCTTGCCGTGCATGAATAATACACGACTTCCTAATCCCGTCGTATTATTCATATTGAATGCGCGCCGGCAATAATTGGGATCAACGTTTCCCAATAAACCGTGTCGGTTATCTTTAACGACTACGATAACGCCACGCCCTACCGGATTATTTTCGGGCACGGCAGCACTCGACTGCACGATAATTACGCTAATTCCGCGGACTCCACCCTTGTCTGATCTACGTGACACAGGGTCGCCGTTTCTGCACGCTTTTCTCTCTTGCCCGAACTAAGCTCGGGGTTTCCTTAGATAAGCCCGACCACAACGCTTAACGACCACAATTATCCTAAACAGTTGCGAAGCCTGTCCTAGAAACTTGAGCCTTTTCGGGATCTATGAATCGCGCTCTACCTGTATGATCGCTATCTCGTATGTTACTTATATATATCGCGCACGAACACAGAGAATACCGAGTAATATATTCGATAAAAATTAAAATTATTCCATCTTTCGAAATACAAAATAGCTAGATTTAAATTTACTCTCTCAATTTCTTGGAGTGAAACTTCGCTCCAAAAGAGTAGGTAAAAATACTGTTACAATTGAAAAAGAGTGAAAATATTTGCATTCTTGAATAAGAGTGATAAATTTTCATTCTAAAAGAATAAAATCTCACTCCAAAAATAGAATGAAAATCTGTCATTCTTATTTAGAGTGTAAATATTTTCACTGTTTTGGATTGAGATTTCACTCTAAGAAATTTAAAGGGTAAATTGAATTGAGTTGCAAGATTTTCGGTTTATTAGAAATTTCTCATTATTAACTAATAGCTAAATAATATCTCGATTAATAGTTTAATGATAAATTTGGTATTTGACGACATTAGAGAGGATTTTCCTTAAATGCTAATGTAGAATAGAGATGAATATATATCCAATAATTGAAAACAAAATATCTCGAAAGAAAATAACTAGCAAAATCTCTTTTGCAACGAATTTTCGTAATTATAGGAAATTGGAATTTTCGAGTTTAATGAGTTTAATGAAAATTGGAGCGATAAGAAAAACTCGATTTCAATTTGTCACAGAATCTGTTATTAAAATATTTCTCGTTGGAATTAGCGCGACAAAAATATACGAGGTTTTATACATACTACACACTTCTGTAATAGTGACAATACTTTTGCATTTATGTACGAAAATGTTTTGCACACGATGTATCTGCACTTTTATGGTCGTGTATAACAACTGTGCATACACTTACGCGGCTGAGTGAGTTCGTTCGTGAGACATTATAGCAGCTAAGAGCGGCAGCTGCGATAAGGCAGCCTTCTGAATAGATTGTCCGCTAAGTCAGGTGGACCGAATGGTCTATGTAGTTTAGATATTACATTCGACGGACCGGAGCCTACATAGTCGGGTGCGCGCGGTTCCATTCACGATAGATGCGACACGCATATGTATTATATATATATGCATATATATATATATATGGAGTATACACGATCCGGGCGCCACGTACATGCAGCGAATTACGTTCTACCTGATACCGACACAATCGCGATCGCAGATACGGCGTAAAAACATCTTTCCATGCAATATGAGATTATTATACTGCATGGAAAGGACGATTTTTGCAAAAATACTTAAAAATTTAGCTAGATATAAATTTGAAAATAATTCTGTTAGACTATTAAAATAATTATACATACAGCACGTTGATTACTAGAATGTCAAAAGCAATGCTTTTTGCAGCATTACTCATTATGCTTGAGCGACCTACATAATTACTTTGATAATCCATCAAAATTGTTTTCTATATTTAATTTTTTCAGATACTTTAGTAAAACCGTTCTTTTCATGCATGGAAAGAACGAGTAATAGTTTAATGATAAATTTAGTTAAAATATCTAAAAATTTAGCTAGATACAGATCTGAAAATTATTTTGTTAAACTGCCAAAATAATTTTCTATATATGAGTATTTTCTGATAATCCAACATAATTATTTTCAGATCTGTATCTAGCTAATTTTTGAGATATTGTAGGTAAAACCGTTCTTTCCATGTGAATGAATATTAGAATGTTGAAATCATTGAAATATCCTTCGCGATTATCGATTTCGATTAAAGTATCTGCAGGTAATGCAGTAATGTTTTTGTAAGCGAAAAAGAATTTATGCATACATCTCCGCATATGATATAGGTATAGGATAACAACTTTTGTTGTAACTAGTATTCTTAGCGACTGCTAATTACAACCGCGTAATCAAATCGCGGCGCGCGGAATGTTTAATTATGTATAACTCTTCTATCTTGCACCCTTATACGCAATTTTCTAGGGCGGACTCGCGTTTACAGCAAATCTGATTAATCTCTGTGAGCTACTAATGAACCCGACAATCCCGACTCGCACATCCCGCACCGCGAGCTGCGGAAGGAGACGCCGCATTATTGTGGATATTAAATTTCAGCATGGGCGTCCGCGGCGGATATTAAATTTTAGTTCTTGTAAGCGACGGCCATAGTGAGTCTCTATATAGCGACTACACTGAAATCGCCTCGTATTGTCACTATATCCATGTTACTCTTTTTTTTCCTTCTATTGCCATCGCACTACTACATCTGTGAAAATCCGCCCGGGATGTTTCCCGAGTTCGTATCAGTCTTTGCAGCCGCGAAAGCCCGGATTAACGAAATTATTTGAAGACCCAGTTGCGTGCGTGCGTGCGCGTGTGTGTATGTGTGTGTAATAGTAAATTTTAAATTAAGAAATATTTAGATACATATTTGTGAAAATAAAAATTATTAACTATATAAGAATGTGAACTAAAATATAAATACGAAATTAAAAATGATAATGAAAACGGAATATGTTTAAATGTTTATTCAGACATATTAATCAATACAATAATGAGATCTCATATTGATCATCATAATAACGAGATGTAGAGAAAGCAAATTTCAATATAACGATAAAATGATATGGAAAATTAACAATAAATTGCTTTTGCATATAATACAGATCTTTTAGAATTTAATTATGTTAAAAGTTACCACAAGTTCTCATCGAAAATCTTTGGCGCTGTAGAATCGCGTCTTGTGCACACGGAATATAAAATAATTGCCAACATGTGTTCCTCGTTGTTTAATCCTTACGTATATATTTCGTTGCGGAATTCATTTTTCGCAAATAATCTTTTTCGCATGAAATGATTTACTTTATTGGGCGAAATCCCTTATACACGTGTGGACAGAAAAGATATGCATTTCGAATTTTTCAATTGGACTTTAGTTAGGCTCTAACGTTGTAACGTACGTGAAATTTTGCGTTTCCATATCACAAAGAAATGTAGTACACACTCGTATGTAGATTTTCGTTATAAACATTTACCTCCTTGCAGCGAGGGATATATATAGGACGAAGGTTCGTGCAGCCAGGATACGACGCGCACCAAATCTTTGACGTAGCTGGGTATGATGCAGCGTAATATTGCAGTGCATCCCCTCGATGCGCCCCCCGTCACCTCCACCTCGACTTTGTATGCCTGAGCCACCACTGCAAACAGCAATAAAATCTCACATAAAGCCATGTGTTCCAGCAATTTAGTACAAATTGCAAAACAATAGCTTACGTAGTAATTTCCGTTCCTACATAAAATTTTCTTTAAAAAAAATGGAAAATTGTTATTCTATAAAAAAAATACTTTCGTATTCTTTTTATAATTGTTACGATAATTAAGATAATTACATATAATAGTTTGTCTCTTGGTTCACAATTGCATTTGATTTTTTAAAGTTCGTTATTTCGTTCTTAAAAAGAAAAAAGTAAGAGTATATAGGCGCTGTAAAAAATTACACGTCGTCATTATGTCGGGCTAACAGCGTAACGAGACAGAGCGAACACCGATTCTGGTGTCTACGTCTGTGTCTCTAATTGCCACTGTAATGAAAAAGCAATCGCAGTTACGCCGACAGTCTCGTTTTCAATTACATCGTCGCCGTCTTGCTACACCGTGAAAGCGCGTTGCCTTGTATACGGGTGTGTATGACACTATGTATATACACACAGAGTGTCGCACACGTCGTTACGTCGTAAACGTCGGGTGAATCTCGACGTCGAGGATGCGTCGAGGCATGAGGCGACGCGAGTGTATAACGAACGTCTCGCTTCTTCTCTCCCACCTTCCTCTTCCTTCTCTATTTCCTTTTTGTGTCCGGCATCGCTCTCTCGCGCACGAGAGGCATCGTACACTCTCTCTTCCGGAGATTTTATTTACGTGAAAATTCCAAGGGCGACGGCCAGCTTCGCCACCGACGGTGCAGTCTGACAGGCCGACGTCGCGACGCCACGACGCGGAGGCTAAAGCTCAGACTACGGCGTTCTGAATTTCTTCTCTATATTCCTTCTCTGTCACCTCGAAGCTTCCAAACCGTGCGAAGACTTTGTCTCGCATTTTTCTCCCTTTCAGCTCCCTGATTCCTGCTTCTCCTGTTTCCACTCGCATGCCGTCATCCCGCTTTCTCGCACGTCTCACAACTCGCATAAGAAATATTGCGTTGAATTATGATATCATCTCTCTCTCACTCGAGGAAGATATTATTAGAGAGGACTTTTATATAAAATACCGTACAATATATATGTAGATATTTTGGAGATGGGTATGTAGAATATATCATATATATGTATAGATGGGAAGAACACAGTACTATTATATTTAAAGAACAAGCATCTTTTCCCTTTAGCAAAATTTTCTGAAATGCATTGTTTTTAAAATATCTCATTTAATATCATTTGCTTGATTTTCTTGATTTTACATGTAAATGTTTTATTGTGTAAAAATTTTGATAATTTTGTTATAATTAAATTTTATATTTATGTTTCTATAATGAAACATGTTTCTATAATGCTTTGTTTCCGAAATATAAATCTCTAATACTTTAACTGATTTACTCTGTATATACAACATAACTTTTGAAATTACTATAACCGTGTTCATAATTTTTGGCGCGAAATCGCATAAAGCACGCCTGCTTCATCGAGCACGCGCGGAAAAGAAATTTCTTCCGTTAAATCGAAAGAGAGAGAAAGAGAGAGAGAGAGAGAGAGAGAGAGAGAGAGAGAGAGAGAGAGAGAGAAAGAACTGAAAGTAAAGTTTTAATTAACGGTCACACGTCCAGGGCAGAACTTTATGGCCGCGAGGGGGTTAGTAGTTGGAAATCCTGAAAGCGTCGGGTCGACCTCGCAGCTGCCACGGATTTGCATTCAGATTGCGTTTTTTTTTAAGAGGTAATTACACTGCGCGACCAGAAAGGAACCTACGCGCATCTCATCTGCATCGGTCGGTGCTCGGCAAGCACTGGTTCGGTTCTAACGCCTGTTTCACACTGATTTTCTCTCGCAATCGGCATTTTCTTCCCATACGAGCAATTAGATTGCGTACGTACATGTTTAAAAGGAATATTTCGTACGGTATAACAATAGTTTTATAGAGAATGGTACAGGTTATAGAAAATATTGTTTCTGTTATTATAACCATTACATGATAATAATCCTGTAATTAAAACTATTACATGATAATAATTCAATCTTAAGATTTTTAATAATTCGTGATAATTTCGTAATGTTTCAAAGAATACAAAATATTTGAGTGGAGAAAGAGTGCCAAACCAAGCCGCACTTTTAGACATTTCTTTAAACAAGAAAAGCGAGATACATCTAATATGTATTTAATTATGAGAACAGACAGATTATCAGAATTATTTTTTTATTTACGTATTTAACTTGCTGTTATTTTAAGCCTAACCGCCAAATATTTCTTAATTAAATATAGAGACATGTCCCGTGTGCAACCAAATTCCTTTACACAAAGCTAACGCGAGGTTTGCGGTTCCCCGAATTGCATTCGGACACAGTGCTGTGCGAGCATTCGCTGTGCGATTACACAGCTCGTGTAAAACCGGCCTATCCGCGATTCCGCGTTTTATCGCTCGCGAGAGACAACTCATGCACCCATCGCAATTACTGTTGACTCGCGCCAAATATCCGCGGCATTCACGTAATCCGCTTAATAGACTTTTCCAATGGTCCAGTGTGCGCGGTGGCCGCGAGCAAAGCTCTAATATGACGGCCATCCCGATTACGCGCTTGCCATTCCTTAAAGGATATCTCGGTAAATAACGGATGTAATTGTGCGGGATGTATATAACGCGATAAAACGTTTGCGAGTTTTTTTGATGATAATAGGACTTGCACAACAAATAGGTAAATTAAAAAGGATTCGACAGAGTAATTTGCTCCACAATGTTATCAATTTTGTTTTAACTTTCCCTTTATTTAAACTTTATTCAATGTATTCTAAATTATATTGTAATTATATTGTACGTAATTATATTAATTGTAAGTTACATTATAAGTTTTATAACTGCATTTTTGCTATTTTATACTTATAGTCATCAGAATTTGAAAATGTTTCTTTTCTAATCTTACAATTAGTAGCATACATCTTTTCAGTAATTATTGAACAGTTTATTAACTTTTGTCGAATACCCGACAAATAAAAAACTTAGGATTCTAATCAAAATGTAACACTTTGTCTATAATTATTGTGCAGTAACAATGTTCAAAATCTGAACCTATTTTTTGAACATAAACAGAATAATAAATATATTAATGTGGTATTTTAACTAATAATAACCTAATAATACTAGACAATAACTGGGCAAATTGCACATATTTTTATCAGGAAAATTGTTACAACTACTGAATAAATCTTTATCAAGTTTTGTCGACTTTCTATGCAGTATTATCACAACTAATGAGAATACAATAAGACTAGACAGAGTATAACTGGATGAATATCTAGGAAAACTGCATTCTATACATTTCTACCAGGGAATATGTATTTTGCTTTTCATGCATGGACATAAATTTCGTCTACGAATCTCGCTTACCTGCTCTGACTTGTACGTCGCGACTGAGTACTCTGCCGACGGTATTGCTCGCCACGCATCTATACGCGGCACTGTGAACGTCCTGCCGATAGGCCGCGGCCGGAAACGGCAGGAGTACCAGAGTGCCATTTCTGAGCACTCTTCGTACGCCCGATACATCGTTCACCGGATGCCCATCCGCGGTGGACCAGTCGATGTTAGGCGGTGGACTTCCGGAGGCAGTGCAGTCCAACCAGGCGCCGCTGGAATTGGAGAATTCAATCCTCGACGGCGGTTCCAGCACGAAGCTGGGGCCGCGTAGATGCGCGTCGAAGCCGTGCCCGCCTGCGGACGTTACTACAGCAGCTGCACCTGCACAGAAAAATCACATTCTTTTATGAAGAAATAAATTCGTGATAGAATAATGATTCCTAGAATAATGAACGTTCTATAATCGTGTTTTTTTTTTACACTGAGAAATAGATACTTAAAAAATTAATTATTTGTGGAATACAACGTTTATTTTACTAAAATAAATCTTTATTTAAATACGGCGAAATAAAGTTTTATTCTTAACAAATAAACGACTTATTTATTTATTCATTTATTTTACAATTAACGAGATATATTTCAGAGAAACGCATTTTTTGTCATCACCATCAAATTTTTTTATAATCAATAAATATTAAAGGTAACGTCATATGTAACATTTGCTTGCGAATATTCCGACTCCAAGGAAAACCCTCTTCCGTTAAAGGTACTAGGAAATATTTTATTGCTATTTTTCGAAAATGGCTAAGTAGTGAGTCTTGCGGCTTTACTATAGTACTTTTGTGAGTGCACTACCTATAAAACTTTACTAAATCGGTGATTATACTGCCAAGCTCTCCGTTACTCTCTCTCGCAAGCAAATGTTACATGTGACGTTCTCTTTAATATTTATTGGTTATAAAAAAATTTGACCGTGATGACAAAATATACATGTCTGTGAAATATATCTCATTAATTGTAAAAAGTAAAAAAGATAAATAGTTTATTTGTTAGAGGAATACAATTTTATTTCGCGGTATTTAAATAAAGATTTATTTCAGTAAAATAAACATTATATTCCATAAATAAATTCATTTCAAGAGAATGAATCTCTTTTCGTATATGTTATAAAAATTTATAATTTACCAAAACTTTTTAAAAAACACGGAATATATTGTAGATAGACTTTAAAGTTTTGATCATTTCTTGAATAAAACATTAATGGGGCAGATTCAATTGGACGTAACATATATTCTCAGATAGACTTTATAACGTGATACGCTTCGAACGGTAATATCAGCAGCCTGAGAAAGCAAGGGGTATCCATTGACGACCCAGTTGTATTAGGTGGAAAATAGTTTGACAAGTTCCAAAGTGGATTAATCGACGTGGTTAGTGCGCCTGGCTTCGTCGCCCGGTCGAACGATGCTGCTGCGGTGATGCAACTAATACGCCGGCCAAGTTATTCTCTTCAGAGTGGTGCACGCTCGAGACACCCACTCCTCGGCGTAAATGCTTTGATCGAGGGCGTGAAAGCACGAGTCAGCAACTACCTACTTGCCGGCTCTTGTATCGTTAGCGCGGTTAATAACTCCCCGCCCGCAGGTTGCATCCCCCGTGTCAATGTTACAGCGAAATTTGCGAGCTATAGAAGCCGCGATAAATTTCGGGCCGTTCACCCGCTTAGCCTATGTGGCCTCGTGTTCGCGTTTAAACTTAACTTTCAACTGATATTATGCTGCAACTCGGTTAACATGAGTGCTGTACCGTCATAAACATTTCTTCTAAACAATGTTATAGTTTACGCTCTCCTAAACTTATATAGTTTTCCTTCCACTAACTTTTTATTCATATAATCGATATTACATAGAGGGTATATAATTATATTGCTTTTTCAATTGATATTTAGAATTATGAACGCTAAATTGTTAAATAGAAAAAGTTCTAATAGTTTCTCCTATCTGTTATAAATGAGTATCAATTTTTATTTTGTATTGAAATTTTTAAGATTTTTGCGATTTGGGATCGTTTTTGAAGCCTATCGAATGTATTTTTATATTCTGTGCAAAATTATGTTGTATATGAATAGATTATTGGAAATATAATGATACACGAAACGAACGATTTAGCTGAAATATTTGAAATCTGTATCTAGCTAAAAATTTAGCTTATAGGTACAGATCTAAAATAAATTTGTTATAAACTATCGAAATAATTATGTAGGAAATTGAAGCATAAACAATGTTGCAAAAAATTTTTATATTTTAGTAACTTGAGTATTTTACATGGTTATTTTGATAGTTTAGCAAAATTGTTTTCAGATTTGTATATATTTAACTAATTTTTTAGATCAATTAAGAGAAATAATATTTTCGGTCAACTGCAATATTCGTTTTCACTAATAGTGTTTTCGAATGGAATGGGTTTGAACCTAATCTGGGTCGGATCGATGACGTCACATATTTTACTTTGATTTCTGATTGGACGAGATTATGATACTTTCAAATCAAACATGAGTTAACTGAACCGGGTCGGGTTCAAACCCACTCCACTCGAAAACGTTATATAATATTTCAGCTAAGATCCGCTTTGACTGAGAAAATAGGATTATTTCTTTTAATTTATTTATTTTCGTCCATCTAATTTCGAATTATAAATTTTTAAACTACAGAAAAATCATTCTTTCTATGTAATTATTGTACAATGGTTGTAGTCAATTAAAAGGATTTATATATCTATATATTTTCTATAATTGCACGTACTGTTTTCTGTAAAATCGTTTGGTGATCGCAAGAGAAATACTTCTCTAAACAATAAGTTTAGTAACAAATTTTTGTTATCTACAATAAATCCATATTGCTGTTTTTAAAACGTAACGCTTGTGATTTAAACTGAAAAACTGGAAAACGTCAAGAGGTACAGCTAATTGCGCTGATTTACGATGTCCGAGAGATCGCAGACGGCCGGATAAATGAAATGGTACTCCTTTCTTCCGTCCCGATGTTGCGAGGTGTTTCATGCGCGCATTGTTTGTGACGGGGGCACTGGAATCGGGAAAACGCGAAACTCATAACGACATTCGCGCGGGGCACCCGACGTAACTCGTTTATAACTACGTTCGAGAGGGAAATGCACGCTCGTTCCGGCCGAATTTCGTAATGCCGTCGCGCGCACGTCGCACGCGCGCGGCATACAAAACACGAAGTATGCAAATCCTCGGTGCACGTGAGTGAGAGAGAGAATTGAATCCTCTATCGTGGTGTCCGGCAATTATGCTCGCCGTCACACCAGTCCGCTTCCGGAATTGTGTCTCTCGCGCGCGCTACTTAATTACTAATTCCACGCGAGTATCACACTGGCGTTCTCAGGTGGAATTCCACGCGTTGCCTCATCCAAGCGACATCATGTCGATTTCCGAAGGCGGCCGCCTTAATTGGCAGAAAATTAATTACATGTTATATGTATGTCGTTTCAACGTCGTTAACTAAAAATTAGACGGGCGAGTTATATCGATTGAATTGTCACGCAATGACTTGAATTAACTTTATTTTTATATTTATATTTATCTACCTTGAATTTATTCATGTAGTATATATGGAAAGAATGATTTTGCTAAAATATTTAAAAATTTAGGTAAATACAGACCTGAAAATAATTTTGTTAGAATCAAAATAATTAAGATAAACAATGAAAATTTTACTGGACCGTGCATTTGAAAATTCAACAATAAGAAATAGAAGTAATGGTCGTGTACCAATGCGATGTGTACTAATCTATCATATAAATATTGAATGGTTTTTTTTTAACACCCTGTATAATTATTTTGATAATCTAATAAAATTATTTACAGATCTATATTTCTAGTTAAATTTTTAGATATTTACTCTCTAAATTCTTTGGAAAGGAATCTCACTGTAAAGAGTAAAAATTGAATCAGTCTTGTAAGAAAATGGCTCAATTTTAAATCTTTAAGAGTGAAATTTCACTTTACAGTGAAATTTACTCTGAAAGTTTTAGAGGATAAGCAAAATCTTCTTTCCGTGTATATAAATATACATTTGTATCTATTTTAATTTATATATTTATATATTAAATAATACATTTGTATATTTATATATTGAAAATTTATTTTATATTTGCAGAATTAAATATTTTATTAAAATATTTTCAAGTTTATCCGATTTATCCAAGTATTGATTTCTATGTTTGTCATGATTCCATGGGGATTTTTTGAGATATCTACAAATGTCACTGAGTTTTATTTGCGCGGGTCGGATTCGCGTCAACATCCCACCCTTTATAACGCACCCTCGAAGAAGTTTACCTATCGACATGGAAAATCGAAGAGCCAAAGGAGTCGGCCGCGCCAGGCCGATGAACGCCAGCAAGATTGAATATACCGATCGGTGTTTAAAGTGACTGGCCGTCATGAGAGTGTACGTTTAAAGCGACAGAGATATGGACAGAGCTGAGCAGTGAGTTGGGGGCATAACGGAAGTCGGATACATGAACGGGTGTTGAGATAGAGAACGAAATAGAGAATGAAAATGAAAGCAAGCGAGAGAGACAGAGAAGGAGGATACACAGGTGTCGGTGGGTAATAGCTCCCTATTACCATAACGCTTGGCTAAGCCAGCTAATCGGTTCCGTTTATGCCGACCGGCAAATTATTATTAATCACATTGCGCTCGCGGATTATCGTTTATATGCGTCTATGGCGCGGTGGCATTTGCACTTCGCGCCGGGTGTCACATGGGCTTTTAGTGTCATGTACCTATATATTTATTTGTGCACGCTTTATCTTTTGACGGATTAAAAATTTTTTATATATATATGTATGTGTGTATGTAAATATATACATATTTTAATTATGTTCGTTTAACGCAATTAAAACAACGTTAAAATAGCCTCACTGAAAAACATACGGAAATAATGTATTGAATAAAAGCTGACATTTATATAAGAAAAGATGATAAGTAACGTTTAAGGAATTTAAAGGATTAATATATTCGGATTTTTATAAGTATTATATATATATATATATAGACATCGGGTTATACAAAATTCAGAAAGCTTGGAAAATCCTGTGTGCAATTCAGCATTCTTATCAATAGATATATTATACTGACAAGAATGCTGAATTGCATTTAGGATTTTCCAAACTTTCTGAATTTTGTACGATCAGAATATATTAATTTAAACTGTCGATATAGCTACTTATATCTTTTCTTATATAAATGTCAGCATTTATTCAATATGTTATTTCTACATGTTTTATAGTGACGCTATTTTAACGTTGTTTTAATTGCGTTATATGAATATAATTAAATTATATAATATTA